GCGGGATACAAACCCAAGTCACCGGGTTCATAGCGCAGCACGCTAACCGCTACACTACTACACACGCACCAAAACACACTCGATAAAACAAATATATGCACAGTCTGTAGTCACGAACTCACTCACTCATTGGTTGACCCTTGGATTGCAATCATGCCAAATGAAACACTTCGAGCCCAGCTAATGCGTAAAACCGCAGCATGATTGATGGCATAGTGCACATATTTGTTGACAGCAATGAATTAATTGCCCGTGATAGAATCGCATCTACCGAATGCACTAGAGTGTATCTAGGCCTTAGATCAGGGATATGGGAACCTGCAGCCCAAAGGTCGGATACGGTCGCTGACTTCGTATCGTGGTACCCACGGCCATATGAGGGCCAGGCACTTCAAACGGCCTGGAAATAATATTTTTCCGTCACTGAAAGCATCTTAGTCTCAATAATTTGGTATAAGAAAGGAATATTTCCATCCTGGAAACAGTGTTTATAATTTTAGTGTGCTCAGTCCCTCCTGTCATTGCTAGGGCCCCTTGCAATAACAGAAGTGTTAATGTGTGTCGTGTCAAAGGTATTTTAAGTTATATTCCTCCTAGGAAGGAAAAGTTATCCACCCATGGCTTAAACAGTGTATTAACTAATTTTAACTTACGTAATTGAAAGCAAGTATCATATCAAGTAACGATAAATAATCCAACATTAAGCTATGTTAAATGTATCATTACCATTCTATCGTGTTCTTGGGTATGGAAAAATGTTCAGGAACTAAATGCCAATGTCGAGGTCTGCTGGCACAACATGTGGGCTTCAGATTAATGTTAACTCAATGCATTTCTGCATTCAGTATTTGCATTCAAATGTTCAAAGTTCTCTCTGCATTACTAACAAGTTGATCTGGTGATGTGGTTTTAAGCCGGCTTCTCTGTGGCCGTGTGGTGTGACCGCTCCTCGTGTAGGGAGCGTCCATCTCACCATCAGCTGATTCTTCTCCACAAGGGATCTCAGCAGATTCACCATGAACTTGATGGCTCCGAGTTCCGACAACTTGCGATCTAAGAGGGAGTATGGGTTAGAAAATCTCGACTCCATTCAACTCAGGATTTAGTGTCTGACAGTCAAACGAATGTGATTTATAACCAAAACCACTTGGAAGGAATTACAACCAATGTTTTGTTAAAGGTTATTTCAATTGGTTGCATTTGTGGTTTATACCTCGCTATTTTAGATTGCAGAGTTATGCATTAAATGAATGAGCAAAGTGTATCTTAGAACAGTTCAGAGCTCATGTAATTATAAAGTTTGCAGATCACAGGGAAAATTTTTTGTGATGCTATTTGATCTGTCTTGGCAAGTTCACCAAGTTTTCAATATATGTGCTAGCTCAGCACCTAGATTATTAAAATGTAGTAAAAAAATATATAATCTCATAATTGTTCGATTAACAACAAGTTTTTTCTTTTGACAGGCCTCACGTGAGTGAATTACCTAGATCAGGGACATATCCTGTGTAATTTGTCAGAACTTTCACGCTGAACTCCACCACGCGTGCGTTGTCGTCTCGGATCTCAGATCCGCCCGGGCACACGGACTCCAGGATCTTCATGAGCAGCTCTGGGGGAAATGACACAGCGGTGCCTCCTCGTTGCACACACACTCACTGCCTTGTCTCAGACTGAACACCTTACAAATCAAATGTCAGATGTACAGACAATATAACAATTTTAAAAAACCTGTCCATTAAGCCTTACTGCATTCTACAATGCGGCCTTCTGCGCCAATGTTTTACAGCAGCATTTGTTTAAACAGGTAAACTCTGGACAGGTGGCAGCTCTCATTGTTTTGTACATACAAGTCAGCACTTTATTTCCATTCTATTTATTATTACATTTTATTGTTCAACATTACGCATAATCCATGTCAAAGCATTTAATATGCATTGATTAAAAACTTTCTTTAAATACACTGTTGCTTTTCATTATGAAGTGCAGCTTTCCAAAATCAATCCAACCCACAGTTGTGTCCCTCCAACAGTTATGTTCAGTTGTCTAACAAACTTATTGTACGCGACTTTAGTTTGGCTCGTATCTTGAGCCCGACGCTGCAGCCTTCTTTATTAGTTTCTTCTAACACGTCCTGTAGGTCATTCCCATTGGATGATACAATGGTTGTCAACAGAAGATCTGAGATTATTAATGTTGTTTCCATTTATATTTACGCCTTTATTGCTCTAATACAATTTCCAGAATACATCACCCAATGTTGCAGTAAATAATGTTGGTTTAAGCGTGTCCTCTTTCCTCTTATGAGCGGCAATGTGGGGGACCAATATCGCAGATCCTCTTATCCACAGGGTCATTTGTGTTTGTACTCTTATTATCCACAGTTAAAGAGTATATATTTGCCAGGCGACTCCTCGTATCCGCAAAGTCGCGAATAATAGGAGTAACGATGCGCAGTGCATGATGGGAAAGGGGCCAGGAAATATTCACGGATATTACTAATTTAGCTTGTGACTCTGCTTTTCCACAAATACTACCCCCCTCCCCGCTTATTCACAATAATGTATGAATAACTGGGGCAGGAGTAGTCTTTGAAGTGCAGTGGGTATTGGTGAACACCATTTGCGCTTCAAATACGTGACTTCTCGGGAGTGGTTAGCGCACTACGCTATGATTATCCCGGTGAACAGAATTAGCTTCTTGTTCACAGCAAACATTGGTTACGAATATCTGAAACCGGCCCTCGCTTCCCCCATGTCAACTCGGCATTAAATGAGTATGTGGTGTGTACACATCGGGGAGACAAAGGCGGCTGGGCGTGGTGCTGTCCAACCACCCCGTCGTTTGCCGTGCCGACCTTCATAGGTGTTCGCTCACAGCACTTGCCTCTTCAATCTGAAAGGCTATCTGGGGGATCGTTGCCTTTGTATCTGTTTGCACGTCTCTGTAACTTGGCACAGCATGCTTAAGAGAACAGCTGGGTTCATGTGTACCCTGGCGCCCCCTGTGGCGATGGTTTCATCTGCAGCAGCCGAGCTGCGCCATTAACACGCAAAGCTTCGAGAACGCACAGATGCATAGATCCCTCGACTTGGCTTTAATATACTGTTTAAATAAGTGCTGTTAACGAGCACCTATTAAGGTTGGCACGGCCCACGAGGGGGTGGGTGGCCAGTACTTGCCCGACCGCCTTCCTCTCGCCAGTGCAGATGTTAACATGTACTCATTTGAGGCCGAGTCGATCCAGAGGAGGTCCTGAACCCGTTAAGATATTCGTCACCAATATTGGCTGTGAGCGAGAATTAAACTCGGGTGACCAGGTTTGTAGTGCAGTGCGATAACCATGATCTGTTTGTCTCTTTTCCTGTGTCTTTGTGTACAAATGTGGTTGACCCACGAATATTAAGATGTATTTGTAACGCAACTCTAATCTGTGAAAATATCGCGACTAGAATGCTGCTTCGCAAAGACTGAAGGGAAGGTTTGCAGTTAATAGGAAGGCTTGGATCGCCGATGACAGGAGTTTTCATGGATCCTGTAGCTGCCGCAGATAAGCGACGCTTATCGGAGGAGTTGTCTTGCATGAACAGTATTTTGATACTGTCATCTCAGAGTTGACGTCCCATTCTTGTAAATAGTTTTTATGACTTTATATATATTAGGCTATGGCCTATGAGCGCTTGGATAAATGCATCAATTTCCACCGAATAGAATCATCTCTAGCTGATAAATGTTCATTTTAATATAAGTTTACATACACTTTACTTACATATTAGGCATATATAATACGTTCTCTCTCGATGAGAGCAAGTACTGTGAGCATTACAAGTTGTAATTATATGTTATTGTTTAAACATTAGTGAATATACTGTATACTCTTTGGTTTTTTCGGTAAAGTCACGTAGGTAGAAAATAATAGATCACGACGTTTCGATCGCAACACAAGCGACCGTCATCAGGTGAGACAATCACAGCAGGGAAACTGCTGAAGCAGGCGAGAAAGCTGCCGTGGCAAGAGGCTATATAGGTTGGGTACGTGGGCGGGGCGAAAGAGGGGGGCGGGGCAGCAAGATCGGCAGCGGAGGGAGGTGTTGCGCCCGAAACGTGATTTATTTTATTTTATACCTACGTGACTTTACCGAAAGAACCAAAGAGTATGGATTCCTGCAGTCACAAAAGCTTCAAATTAGTGAATATAGTTATTGTCGCGTAATCTGATTTTTATTCTAATTATTTCCTATATTATCAAGCATTATTGTTTTGCTGAATTGTATTGATTGCCTTAAGGTAAAACCTCTCCAAGCTTTCAACAGCCTTCCGACTCAGCGGGAAGGCTATTGGAAAATAAATAAATGTGAATACTGTACAAAACTATACAGTACTCACGCCAGAACTCTGTTCCCACGTTAATTAAACTGCATGTGGAAGGAGACGGGATGCTTTTGTGCACTAGCAATTCGGAATGTACAACACGGTACTTATATGTTGTATGGAATCAGAAAATGCTCTCTTGGATGACACGCTCTTTGAGTGATCTGTCTCTCCCTCATTTGTTCCTCATTGATTTTTCATTTATTTAACAAATACACAAAATTCATGCTTCCAGCCCCAACACAAGGGAAGCACAGCCTCCCACCTCTGTCTCATGGAGATCGTAAACTGTTCTTAAGTGTAAAATGAGATATTTTAAGTGGTAATGACAACATGTAATGAAACTTTACAAATGTTAAAACTCCTAACCAATTGTTTCAGGCCTCTTCACACCATGTTAGTCAATGTTTTCTCGTACATACTTCAATATCCTGGTTACTGTAGGTTGGTGAAGGGAGGCAGTGGAGGACCGGTTCTGATATCACTCACCACTGATGTTAACCGTGTCGCTGGGTTTATAGCGCAACGCCCGAACCACGGTACCACCGCTAGTATGAATGTAGTTCAATGTGAGAGAAATTCCTTCCATGAGTGTTTATCAACGTGTATTCAATCCTTTTATTATTTTCAGTATGCTGAACATCCCACAAGACCAGAAAAGCTTTCTCCACTATTATTCTGTGGCTTGGAGAGTTTTTACTGCAGCTGCTTCAAAAGATCACTTTTGAGGTCGGTATCACACCCACATTTTTTAAAACACCGTTGTAGTTTCGTTTTAAGTGAAATACTGGTAATATACAATTAATGGGACAGAATGATCGCTGTTGCTGTCCCACACTCAGGCACCCACCTGCACCGCCTTCCTCGTAAAAAACCTGAAAAAGCTCTTTGAGCTCTTTAACGGTCAAATCCATGTCTGCAGTTATACCCCTGAGACGAGTCAGGAGGGGAACCGCAGTGTTGTCATATCTGCAGGACACACATGCGCACACATGTTTATGTTGTGTGTATAACTACACAGAGACTTCAGCTGGAGGCAACGCGTTTATTAACAGACTCAACAGACACTGACTGTTACACGAAGGGGTACGGCCCCTTCAACCCGATAGCCTAAGGGAGGTACAGCCTCCCTCCTGGTGTATCCTACACACCCCGGCTCTGCTACACACGGGTCCCTTGCCACGGGGTCACAACCACTGGTCCGCTCCAACCCGGCTCTGACAAGAGCCTCGGGTGAGGGTCCCAGGGTGCTGGTCCAGTCTTCGGTCTTCGGCGTCCTGAGGCTTGAGTTGGCGAACACTGCCGAACCCGTTCAGAGGCCCGGCTTTTACCCCCAGGTCGGGGCATACCCCTCTCCTCATCACCACCTCTCCAGAACCTTCTAAAATGTCTTCTTCTTCTTTAGTGCTGCCTAACGGCGTGTGCGACTTCACGATGATATTGGTCCGGGTCTAGCACGGCGTGTAGAGTTTGTGCTGTTGTTAATTGTAGCCATGTTTTGATGTTACTGAGCCATGTCGTTTTTGGCCGTCCTGGTCGTTTTTTCCCTTCGATTTTTCCTTCCAGGATTTGCTTTAAGGAAATGTCTTAAAATGTCTTAAATCCTAAAGAGCTTTAAAATGGCCTTTTGGCCCCCATCCCCCCCAGCCCCCAGCCGTGGGGGGTCTGGGGCGTCAACCTCCGGTCACGGGCCAACCAAGGGGTGGGGGTTACCGTCAGGCAACTCCTACACACCTCGCCCTCTCTCTCGGCTGCCCCCTTGTCCGCCCGCGAGCGTGGTGGCAGGTAAGTGACCTACAGCGCCGTGGTATAGCGTAACATTTATACCACAAACAAGACAATTTCCACAGACACACCTACTCATTTGTTTCATGACTTAAAAACAATCCTACACATAAGATCAAACAGTGCCTGGTGCGATCTTCATTCACGGTTCATGAGAGACATTGGTGATGCTCGTACACGTTTATGATTGCACAAATTGTGATACTGTGCATATTCCACAAAAGCATGACCTAGAATTATGGAATAACCTAACAACATGTGTAAGGATCATGTAAGGACACGTTGGGATGGTGTAATTGTCATCTAGGCACACTAAACGTAATTAATTAAATGAGCCTGGGATACAGCCAGGCAGGAGAAAGCAGGGAATAGGTTGAGGACTGGGGGAGAGATATTTAGGGAGAGATATTTGGCGAGAGAGATTTGGCGGGAATGAAAAAGGAAAGGGTTGGTGGAAAGGAGGGAGAAGATTTGAGGAACCTGCTGGAAAGTTCCAGAAAGATCGAGGATATAAAGGGGGTGTGACGTGTGCTCGGAGCTCTCGGGGAGACGGCTTTCTTTGAGTGTGAGGGATTTTCAACAAAGCCTTTACCCGAAGATTGCCTTGTGTAGACTCTATTTCACATGTATGGCCCATTGCAACGAATAGCAAGATGTACACAATGGAATACAGAGCAATGTACAGACCTTTGACCATACTTCTCCACGCTGGTCAGAGGTGTGAGGAAGCTCACGACCCGTTTGGATATCACCTGCCACTGATGTAAGTCGTGGCTGGGTCGCAGGGTTCATAGCGTAGTGCACTCACCACTGCACCACCACTCCACCTCTCCATCCCTTTGTAATGTTCTGCCTAATACACACAAGAGCTAGGCCTTGCCTATAGCAAGGGTTGCCAGCCTTTACAAGGCTTATGCATCTTCTGAAAATCTGTGAGCCGCTATCACAGTGAACAGTGCTGTCTGGTCGTCAGTGCGTAAGCGACATAGCACACTGAGCAATATCGTGCAAAACAATCAATGACAATGAGTCATGAATCCAAGGTCACACGCAAGGGAATCCACTGCTGTGGCTGTTACAATCGAGTATTTAGTGTTCCTGTAGAACTCCTCTTAGTGCACTCCTAGTATCTGCGAAATTTCCTATTATGTGAGAGAAGTTCCTCGTATTATGAGTGTGTATCTGTGTTAAAGAAGCATTACCTGGTACTGGTTTCAGATGTTAGCAGCAGAGCGTCACGTATTTATCAGTAGTAAAGAGCGTAGGCAGAAGTAGTCGAAGGAGACTACCAATCTAGATTGTTTAGTTTATTATAGATTGATGATGGATCAATGATAATGGATTGATAATGATTTGCCAGTAGCCCTCCCCATGATATCACTGTGGATAAGGAGTTCAATTTTACGGAATCATGATATCCGTAGGTGTTGCCAATTTGTATATTGTGGGGAACAGATACGATAGCTGCAATTACCATCCAGCTCTCCTCGCAGCCCCAGTGAGGGCACACCTTGGCCCTGTGCATGCAGCTAACAGCGAATAAACCACATCGGGGAATTAATTTTGTCAGATTTCTCTACTCTTTCATGACTTACTCTAAAGCTTAACCATAGCTGACGTAAATTAAAGGAGGTGTTTGCCCAATGGTGCCATTCGTGCATGGCGCTTAGAGCACAGGGAAATCTACAAGAAATGTACACAAAGGTCTTGTTCTAACAGTTCATGAGAAGTTTATTTGTGTGGCAAAAAACAGATGACAGCAGCAGAACCCATATCTCACCTGGGTAATTTCTTCAGTATGGCCAGTGAATCCCTGATGCCAGCTTTCCTTCCCTCCATGGCTCAGATCTGAACAGGGAAAAAAACATAATTCCATTACTTCATGCATTCATTTCATGGGTCAGCATTGGAGACATTCAATCAGCTTATTTAAACTCAAGAGGCCGCGCCGTAGCCAACTGTGGCTTTAGACTTGGTTATCCCAACATGCCACACCATGGTAGAATGACCAAATACAGTGCATCCAGCAAGATTATCTTTATTAATCAAAGAACGGGAGGTGAGTAGTAGCATTTATATATTTGCATTGCAAGTTAAAACCCAGCATATTTTTAGTCTAACATAGCGTCCTGTAAAATGCTGGCTCAACTTTTTACCAATCTGTGTTCAAAAGCATATTCGTGGGGTGGGCGCGACCATTCGTGATTAAAAAAGGGGGTGGGACGGTGGTGGAATGTACGAAACTTCAAATCTAGATTGAATGTACGATTATTAATTAGTAAAATTTAATAATAATAAAACACGAATAGGGCCACGATGGGTGGGAACTGGACCGTTTTTTAAATGAAATCTTGAATTGTCACGCGAGTAGGCGAGTCTGTGTAGAAGTTTTCAGCTCGTTAGGTTTCATTGATCCAAATATATTAAGCGTCAAAGATTCCAAATAATATAAACGGAAAACACGACAAGTTCAATAAAAGTGTGGAGTGAAAGATAGAACGTTACCTGTAATTGTTTCTGAAAAATCAACTTCCTCCGTGAGGTGAATATCTATTTAAAACGTTATCGAGTTAAAACTTGTCAAGTTGTTTTACATGACGTGAAAAACTTTGTATTGATTGAAAGTTTATTTTTTTCATGAAAGGACTGTTGATTCAAATTAAAGTCGATACGTTATTTTATTTCGTACATGTGTGTGTATATATAGGCTGTCAATCCACTTCTGAATGGTCATACTTCACCACACTAAAGCATTAGCGTCGTTGTGGAGACTTTTATGTAACAAAATAAATAAGACTATCCTACATCAATAGCTGTCCCTCAAGCTCAGCGGTCGACAACCTGTGGCTCTTTAAGGATTGCGTCGTGATGTTATTAAGGACCACCTCGTATTCACCACATGCATCGGGGTTCTTAAAATCTATAGTTTCTTAGCGAATTAGAAAAAAATGTCTCGTGTTAGTGTGGTGAAGTATGGCCATCCAGAAGTGGATTGACAGCCTGTGTGTACAAAAATAAAAAATTTTAATCAGCTTAACATGAATCAACAGCCATTTTTTACGAAAATAAGCGTTTCAATATGTAGGGGTGATTGTCACTCACCATTCAACAGTCCTGTAGTACCACTGATTGTCAATAGGGTGCAGCAGCGTTACCTCGCCAGGGCAAATGCCGTGGGGGTCACACAGAGGGCAACGGCGGATCCCAGTAACGGATCCTGAGACACATTCCCTAGGGCCCCGGGTGGGGGGAACTGGGGGAATGACGTCACCTTCCAGGATGCCCCAGAGGGTTCCAGAAAGAGGGCGTGGCTAGGGCGGAGCAAGCCACGAACCGGTATATAAGCCAGAGCGCTCAGAGCTCTGGCTCAGTTATCTGCACGCAGAAGACCGGGCTGGAAGATAGGACCCTGGACCCAAGCTCCGGAGCCCTCCTAAGGGCCGAGCTCAGCGAGGCCAGTGGTCGGGGAAGAATAGGTCTGGGATAGAGAGGACTCTGGACCCAAGCTCCGGAGCCATTCGAAGGGCCGAGCTTAGTGAGGCCAGTGGTCAGGACTCACGGACCAGGGGGTCCGGGTCAGATAGCCTCCCCTAGGTTCGAGCCGGAGGACGAGAGGGGACGGGCAGCCAGTGTTAGGCCGTATAGTCCGGAGGCCATAGCTCCCTAGGTATCGGGTGAAGGGACCGATATACCCTTCAGAATAGGGACCTTGTAGAAAAGACAATAAACAGCGTGTTGCCTCATAAGGAAGTTTATTCGTCAATACTTCCAACACTACAAATACAACAGCTTTCATGTCATGTAAAAAAAACTTTACAAGTTTTAACTCTATAACTTTTAAATAGCAACCCACCTCACGGAGGAAGTTTATTTTCAAGAAACGATTACGGGCAACGTTCTATATTCCGTGTAAAATAAACCACAGCCCTCACACTCCCTCTGTGTCACACTCCCTCTGTGTCACTACAGCTGTGCCACCACCACTACAGCCGTACCACCACCACTACAGCTGTACCACCACCACTACAGGCGTCACGTGTTGCTGTTGCTGCAGCTCTCGGCTGCTCGGAATTCCCCTTCGCTTTGACCCAGCAGAGGCGATTTCGCAATCGCCTCTGCCCTACACCCAACGTGAGACACCAAACTTTTGTATTCCATCGATATTAATCTTTTGGGGTTGGTATGGCGACCAACACATTTTTGTTATGAATACTCGTCTTTAATTGTTTAAAACATTCATATTACCTGAGAAAACACACCGATTTATATTTAAAATGTAGGGCTCTTTTCGAAAGGATTGCAATGTCAGGGACTGTCTAGATCCTGCTATGGTTTCACCTGAACACAGAATGTCCTCTTAACAAGCATCACTACCACCTTGCAAGACAACACAAGCTCCCCTACGGCCGCTCATCCACCACCTTCACAAATCTCGACCATAACATCCACAGCCCTTGTCAATCTACAACTGCCACCAACGACACGTCTTTAACTTGCATATGTTCTCTAAATAGGGCCGTCACACATCACGACTCCACGGCAGACAGCAGCACGTCTGTCCCCAGACATCCACACCAAGAGGAAGGGGGTCTCAGCCGCTCACCTGGGTCTGCTCCTGAGTTGAGTCTCCTCCTGGCCCAAGTCTCTCTCTCTGTGAGATTTGTGAAGTGTGCAGCTGCAGCTACCTGGGCACTGCCGTCACGCCCCGGCTATGATGCCCCGCCCCCAAGTGGGTTCATTTTTAGACACCCACGCACACGAGTCGTCTTTCACACAAACATCCCTGTCAATCATAGCATCACTGCAGGTTATGCACTGGAATTTAAACAATGCTACCCCAAACACCATCTTTATTACTCTTTGGTTCACTCGGTAAAGTCACGTAAAGAACCAAAGAGTATGGATTCCTGCAGTCACGAAATCTTCAAATCACCATCTTTATTACTTTATTTTACTTTTAAATGTTTTTATTCAATATTACAGAACCAACAGAAACCGGTTTATAGCAACAAGCGCCATGCGTCACTAAGTAGTCGTGACGTCACTACGACGCTTGTGCCAGGCTAGGTGCACACCAAGGCCACGTGAAGTGTCGAACGCCCGCTGGCAGGTCACGGGGACAGACCCAGGTGCCATGGGTCGACTGAGATGACTGGCCGATGCATCACCTGTGCCCCTACTGTGCCAACTACTACTACATCCTTTGACCGACATTCACGTCCACACGCGCACAACGCTAACAGCCGCCATTTGCCACGAAATGGCGGTGACAGCACCACAGCGCTGGTGCCAAGCAAGGTGCACCTCGAAGCCACTTGAAGTGTCGAAGGCTCCTTGGTAGGCCACGGGACAGACCCAGGTTCCATGGGTTGACTGAAATAACTGGCTACTGGCAGATGCATTCTCGGACGAGGGATGTTGTGGATGGTGGAAGTTGGGCCTGTCACTTTCAGCTAGCCAAAGCACCTCCTCTTGTCAGTCAGGATCATAGCAAGTGCATCAGTCACAGTACTGAACCTCACCCATTTCCCCTTAGCATCAGGAGGGGAGATAATGCCAACCCCAGCTGTAAGAGATTAACATCATGATTGCAACCTTCATCGGTTAGCAAAAACAGTGGAAGAATGGCAGGTGCATCTTTACAGATGACAAGGCAATAATCAGTAGCCAAAGCAGCTCCGGGGTAGGTTCTGGTGTCAAGGGCATGAGCCCGCATTCGCTGTTCAGTAACTGTGAGTATAGTCCAGCAGATGTTCTTGCTTAGACCTGGCATGCATCCACGATGTTGTGTGGATGCACCCACAGACTTCCAAGCGACACTCGCGTCAAACGATGCCCGCGGTTGCTCGGGTGTTATTATTCCCCATACTCCAGCCAATCAGCTGCCAGGAAGACAACCCCAATGTCACCATGACGTCATCGCTCCTTGTGCTTCAGCTGGTAAGTTGTACGTTTATGTGTTTTTTTAAAGGAATGTGAGCTTGATTTCGTGTGAATTTATTCGTGCGAGTGTGTAAGAGTGTGTGTAATTGTTTGAGTGTGTTACTTTGCGTGGAAATGCCTCTATGTACGTGTTTTGGTAGTAGTTTTTTTACCATGTGCCATGTCATCCTTAATAAGTTCGCGAAGAGTCTCTTAAATGGCCATATGGGGGTTCTTTATTTATGACAGGAGAGTTTCTGTATGCATTTCTGCATGCGTGTTTAGGTGTGTGTAGGCACCTAAAAACCATATATATTATATACTATACATTTTAAAACATGACTGTTCTATGTCAAAGTTTTACTGACATTGTAATTCACAGCAGAAAAAGGCACAACGTTCGCAGGCTATGCTAAAACATGTATTTCTACGTTTCACAATCAACTTTAATATTGCAAACATATGACTATATCTCAGCCTGGGCTTCCATCCAAATGTAATCGACAGAGCAGCTCCCATAAATCATCGCCAGAAACACTGCATTCGCAGCCTTGGGCCCACTTGGTCGATCAATTGATCGGTCAAGTGGGCAAGCACAGCGGCGTGGCCTCAATGCTTGCCCTTCTTCTTGCGGCCCTGCGTGCGGCGTCGCGTCTTTGCTTCGATGATCTGCTGGGACTGTCGCTTGAGTGTGGCCCTGGTCAGGACCTCCGTAGCATCCTCGCCACTCGACTCTTCATCTGTGAAGTTGGCGAGATGTGGCATCACCACTATCAACATCATCCAGTTCGAAAATGATCTGCCTTATTTGATGAGCCAGTCCAGTATGGCTCTCCTCTCACTCTTTCTCATTGTCCTGTACAATCATGTGTCATTGTGGAGAATATAAGTAACAACAGATAAGAAGACAATGATTTACAATCCATCAGCCCCACACGTAAGTGTCTCATCAGCAGTCAGGCTGGCTTGCACCAATGCTGGTGAACTATCAGATGTTATCGGCATATGGGGTCCAGTTCGACAGGGCCAGCGGGTTGTGTAAGATTTTTTTTTTTTAGAGAACATGCAAGTTAAAGACATGATTAAAACTGTTAACAAAAGTAAGTGGACTTGAGCAGGACACATCGTAAAGGGACGATGGCTGATGGTCAAGAATAGCGATGGAGTGGCAGCCAATGGGGACGTCCACCGAGGGGATATCCACCGGGAGATGCAACGATGGAATCCGTGTGCAGGTGATTGGGTGGATTGTTACATTGGTTGATCACGGGAGATGGCTGTGGCTTGGGGATACCTTCATCCAGCAGTGGATTGACCACGATTGATGATGATGAACAATAGGTGTGGGCTGGGAAAGGGTGGGAAAGGGCAATTGCTGATGGGAAATGTCAAAGTACGTTGCGATAGGCGAGCGAGTGAGCGCAGTCGGAAAGCTGTGCGTGCGGACATACCCTCAAACATGTCAGCCTTTTTCTTGGATGACGGCAGTTTAATCCGCACGTTGTACGCCGGAAGGTTGCCTTCGATTCTCGTGTAAAACTGCAGGCGCAAATTGCACGACACATACGGTGATGCTTTCCTCTCAGCTCTTTCTTTCAAGTAAAATTCATCAATTGACAAATTGAAAAAGTGTCTCTGTGCTCAAATGGGCTTCAGGGGTGGTTGATGTTGTTGAATCACCTTGGCAGGGCCAGTCTTCAAGTTTGAGTTTTCTCATCATTTACAGAAAGTGCTAGGATGTGTTTAGAGGGTACATTATACCTTTGACTTGTCATATTAAAAGATAATTGGGTTTCATGTAAAACAGAACATATTGGCTCAATGTGAAAAGAGGTAGAGCACAGAGTTTGCAAGGGCTGTGCTCAAGGTGTCGCCGCCGCACCTCTTCATCACCCATTTGCTGCAAGAGCTTAGTCAGATCTTGCCCCTCAAGCTCCTTCTTAAGAGCCAGCAACTTGCGCTCGGCCACGGCCAGCATAGCCACCACCCCTTCATCTCCATCGTAGGAACCGGCCTCGGGCAGCTCCTCATCCTGCACAAACGCGCACGTGGAGAGGGTGTGATGAGAGAACACGAAGACTGAATAAGAGAGAGGTGGCCACGTGGCTCAGGGGTCAGAGCGTTCAGCTGGCACCACTGAGATCCTGGGTTTATATCCAGACTTTTGCTACCTGTGATTAAACCGGGTTCTCAAGTTTACTGTATTTAAGCTATGAGAGTGACAATTTACTCTACACAAAAAAAACGCCTACAAAGTTTGGATCTGCACCCCATTTGGATATATTTGGACTCTGAAAATTAAACACGTGAGTTTGACCGTCAGATAACAAACATCATTCTCTGTGGAAGAGTGAGTGGATAGTGCTGCACCCCTCCAATTATATGGAATAAAGGTCATTGGTCTGTTCGATTCTGGGCCGTGGCTAACATGAGTGTTGCGTGATATCCGGACCGATGTTGAGCTTCCTCACCTCTTTATCAACCCGCACTGAGTACCGTGTGTGGTGTAGTATGGTCAAATAGCCCCCAAAACCAACCAGTTGCCTTCATCCAGGAGTGGACAGGTGAAAAACAACAGAGCAACATTGCAACCTACTGGCAGACGAATACCCATTTGCAGGCTGGTGCCATGTTCACCTTGTCCCACACAGGCACAGCTGCCACTGGAGGGGACCCCCTTGTAAATACTGCAGCAGGGCATTAGAATGGATGGTATGACATATTTATTTACATGCCCTATAAATGCAAATCCTCATCATAAACCCTTAAAGAAGTTGCACACTGTGCATGTGAGTGCCTGCCGCACCGTCTGGATGTGCTGCAGCTTCTCATAGAGGTGTTCGACACCGGCACGCACGCCGTTCATGAGACGCGTGCTGCGCTCCAACTCCTCCCGGGCCACGTCGCGCTTTTTCTCCTCCTCCAGCGCGAGCTGCTCCAGCTCCTGCAGGAGGCGCTCGGCGCTGTGGCCATATCGCAGAGGGGATGGCATCAGGCATACCCCACGGGCAGATCCACACACGACATCCACGAGTGGAAAAATTCTAAAAGCAGATAAAAGTGCGAATGCAGAAGCAACGACTGGACCATGGACCACATCGTGAGCCACTGCGCAGTGGCATAGCTATCGATTGTTTGGATGAATTCCAGCTCTGATAACGAATACATTGGATTCACTGTCATTCGATGAGCATTATTATCAGTGGCAGAGTGGGTGGAAAAGTGCTACTTTGTAGTGTGTGGACAAGAGGCCACTTGAAGGGATCTCAGAGATAGCTCTGTGATATCCACTTCAGTGGGCCGTTCTCTCTAACACGAAGGGTTGCACTGCTCTGCGACAGATCTGAATGGATACTGATAACAAAAGGTAGACAACAAATCTGAATGAAATTGGGGGGGGGGGAGGGGGGGTGAAATAAAATTTTTTTCCAACTTGTAATCTCTAAATATTGACAGATTTAAACAGCAGATTCCAACCCATTCCCACTCTGCAAACTGCTTCCCCACACTCTTACTTCGACAGCTTGGCCTCGCCCGAGTATTTAATCTGCGTGTACTCCTGCTTGAGCTTTTCATGTTCCTCCTTGAGGCGAGCCAGCTCGCGCTTGTTGGAGCTCTTCATCATTTCCAGATCCTCCTGGGTCTTGCCCTGCGACTGGAACCTGCTGACCACCTCCTGCAGTCAGTCACATGGGCACGCGCAGCCGATGAGCCTCATCATGACTCCGCATTGTTTTGTTTTCTTTACGCAGAATACTATGGAAGTTTCATGATTTGCGATGAAAGAATGTGGAGGAACGAGATAGGAAGATGGTGGATGTCATGAGAGAACAGACACAGAATATAAGCACATGGATAAAGAAATTTTCACCAGCCTACCCCCATGCGATAATGAGATTTTTGACTCATAAGAAGATTACAGCAGTGACCAGTGATGAACACATCTGATTATGCATAGCAATGAGATGAATTAGTCAGCAATGTCCAGGCGATATAGCAACATCCAGCCACTTTTTAATCAGAGTGATTATTGCGGTGTGGTGGTATTGTGGTGCAGTGCCACTGTGGTTCGGCCTTAGTTGCGGTACCATTGCACAGTGAAATGACTCTTGTGCTGCGGTTGTGGTTTATTGGTTCAGTGCTACAGTAGTGGTACTGTGGTGGTGGCCTTATGGTGTAGTGCCACGTTGTACCACGTAGATTTGCACTGTTGCGGTGCAGGCAAATTGTTGCGGTGGTGTAGCCGGTGCAGTGCCATCGTGGCTGCGGTGTAGTGATTGTGGAGTCGTGGTTTTAGTTTTGTGGTGTCTTGGTTGTGGTATTGAAGGCGCCGTGCCCCCTCGGTGTGCAGCGTCACGTTGGCGCTGTACCTTTGTGTCGGACACACCGGTCGCCTCCTTGATGCGCTGGAAGGCCTCCTCGTAGGACCTGATCTTGCGCTCCTGCTCCTCGGCAGCCGTGGCCGCGCGCTGCGTCTCTGATGCCGGCTCCTCCTGCGGGATGAGGGCTCGCTGAGGTCGCCACGCACACAAAATCAAAGAAAAAGATCCGCCATATAGCCTTGACAGACTGTTGTGGCAAGTGCTGTTAGACAGCACCAAATTAAGGTCAGCACGGCACACGAGGGGGTGGGTGGCCAGCACTACGCCCAGCCGCATTTTGTCTCCCCGGTGGCGATGTTTACACATCGCACCATGTACTAATTTACACGTGTGCACAGACACACGCACGTGCACAATGCACGCAATGACACATGCAATCACACACAATTGCAATCATACACACACAATAATACATGCGCGCACACACGGCACGGACACAGACATTCACACACAGACACACACGGAAGTGAACACACATGCACACGCATTCACACATACACATGCACACATGCGTGATCACGCACATATGAGAAATATTCATATGTACAATTGTACAACTCAGGTCGCCGGGTTCATAAGGCAGTGCGCTAATCACTACACCACCACTTTACCCTCAGGTGTCAGTGTAGTTCTAGCTAACACGGGTTTGTCAGGGTCATGCGAGTGTTAGTGCTACTCTAGGTCAGGGTTTTTGTTGTGTGTAGAATACTAACTGATAGTGTATTTGTTAACATACTGCACGACAATTCCTGGCCATGCTTAACATTGGTGGCGAATATCTTAACCGCTCCTCTGCCTCCCTTAAATGAGTATCTGACGCAGTGTGACAAAGGTGGCTCGTGCGTGGAGCTGGACACAAAACCCCCTTGCGCCGCCGGTCCAGCCTTCATAGGTGCTCGCCAACTGCACTTGACCCAGCAAGATTTTAACGCTACACAGGGCACCGTTGTCTTTGCCTGTGTAACGTGAACCAGGATCGTGAGCGGGCCACTCGCCTCACCTTGCGATCGAACAGCATTCTGGTGCGCTCTTCCACCTGCCGCTTGTACTCGGAGAGCGTCCGCTCGCGCTCGCGCCGCTCCTTTGCCACCGACTCCTCCTGCTGCTGCAGCTCCAACTGTGGTCACCGGTCACACGAACAGCACTTTACATGCAACTACAAGTACAACTTTAACAAATGTTGTTATTTACCAGGTAAAGCTCGCTGGGCGATTAGCTCCTTTTCATAAGTGAGCTGGGAAATTTATAGCAGCCATGTAATCGAAACACATGTTTATAAATGTGGAGGGAAAAAACGGAGGGCCCGAAAAAATATCTAATCGACTACAGGGAGAACATGCAAACTCCAGATATACAGGAGTCAGGGTCAGGATCGAACCCATGAGTCCTGCATACCAGGCGAAGAAGATTACATCTCTCCACCGTGGGGCCCTTACGTAGAACTCTATGGGAGGGAGAGAAGTTAGTTAGCTGAGTGGTCAGTGAGGGAGGATAGTGAGTTAGGTGAGGGAGGGTGGTGAGAAGGTCAGTGATACAATTGACAGAGGTCAGAGAGTGATGTGAGGGAGGGGACTATCCTGGGTTGTGTAATTGCAGCCCTCTGAAACATTTTTTGGTTGGTACCTCCATTTAATCAACTTAAAAAATTGCTATTTTGTTTTGGATATAACATTTTGGCAAATACCTAATTAGATATTCAGTGCAATAGTAAAAACTTGCTACTCAATACACCAATTTTTATTGTTTTTTTTTCTTTCATTTAACCCATATTTTTCTATCAGGTGTCTTTTCTCGAGACGAGAATCCATTCAGAACACTCGCAGAGTGATACAACCCCCAGTGTTAGTGAGGCGGACACCAAAGCACTGCTTCTAAAATGAATGATCCGGTAAAACCCAGATGTGAACCCAATATCTTGATAATAATTTACATTTATTCGTAAGGCGCCTTCCACTAATGTCTCAAGGTGCCTTGAAACATCAGAATCTTAGCGATTCAGGGTTGGCGCTCTGACATCTGAGGTATCCGGCCACTTCCCGTTGCCACACTTCTCATTAAAATTCAAGAAAATGGATAACCTGTGAATATATATTATACATATATATACAAACTGATACCCTCCAAATTAACTCACAATTCGATGCAAAGCTGTTGAATCTTTATAACTTCACTTATAATTGCATTTGACATCTATCCTTTTGTTTATATATTCATGCAAGTCACCCTATATCTGTGTAATGTTTCTGTAAGTTTATTGTAATTTTACTATAAGTCTAAAAAAATTCTGTGCGAGCCGAATTATGTTGCAAGGAATTTATTGCTTAACATTGATTTATATTTGTGAAATTGTTTTTAATTTTCACCGTTGTTTTTGGTCCGATTTATACCTGCCTCATTTATTAATTTTATTTATTTATTTGCTTTTTGTCAATTTGGTGTGGCCCATGTCACTCTTCCAAATGAGACTTTCCCTGGTCTCTTGAGTTCTCAGCTGGTTACACAAATAAACTTAAAACACTCTCACAAATATCCCCCATTTCGCCTTAACAGCGCTGTTAGCGAGCACCTATGAAGGCCAGAATGGCACACGAGGGGGTGAGTGGCCAGTACCACACCCGGCCGCCTTTGTCTCCCCAGTGGTGATGTTAACACATTGCACCAGGTACTCATTGGAGACCGAGTCGACCCAGTGGAGGCCCAGGACCGGTTCAGAAAATCGTCACTGGGGTTGGCCGTGGCAGGGAATCGAATTCAGATCGACGGATTCATATGCACTTTTAAATCTAGATTTAAAACTAATTTCTTTAGAACTGCTTTTTCTGTTTAGCTTGTTGTCCTTTCACCGCACTTCCGGTGAGCACAGTTGGCTACGTACCGCTTCCCACACTCGCACACTCTCACACGTGTGCAGCTGTCACCTTGGCCGTGTCCCGCGCAAGCTGCGCCTCCTGCTCCATGGCCTGCAGGTGCTCCAACTGCTGCCGCTGCTGCAGGATCTGGGCCTCGAGGCCGTCGAGGACCGTCGGGAAGTTGAGGCGCTCCTGCTGCAGGTGCCCGCGGATGCGTAAGTACACGCCCGCCACGCGCTCCGCCTCGGCGCACTTCATGCGCGCCTTCTCCAGGCGGTTCTCCAGCATGCGCAGGTCCTGCAGCGGGGATCGCGGAGGTGGCAGTAGCGGTTTGAGATCAAGAAGAAAAGACTGCCGTCCCCGCAGAGGCGGAGCAAGAAGAACGACATCGGGTACTTCTGTTCCTAACCGTAGAGCCTAACCATGAACTTAACCTGCACCCCGGAATTCTAACCTTGAACTCTACCATTAATTCTTACCCATAGCCAAAGCAACAACCTCTAACCGTTAATATTGACAACTACAAAATAAGATAAGATAACCACTAACCACTTAACACTACCCCTACCATAACACACATACTAAGTTTAACCCATAAATGCTATCCAGAATGCAAACCCCTGACCCGAAACCAAAATCCTAACACCATAACCCTAACTTGATCCCTGAAACCTAACCCAAACTTTAACCCCTTAACTCAGAAGCAGTTATCCCTCAAAATTCAGAATCTGAAAACTAAAGGAGTGGGGAGAGGAAATTACAAGGTTTGTGATTGAATAAAAATGGAGACTCAGTTTCCTTCCACGGAACAGTAGTACCAATCCTGGTTTCAGAAGAACTATCCCGGTGTCACACAGCATTTCTTAAAAACTGGATTTAGTCCCAGTTTAATATTTTCTGGCTTCCAAGTTTCACTCCAAATAGGGGTGGGGCGACCCAAGTAGTGCAGATCGTTAAGGCAAGTAGTGGTCAAGGCCAATGTTAGAAAGACATTGGGCGCCGCGGTAGCGCGATGTTAACTCCCTCACCTAGCATGCAGGAGGTCGTGGGTTCGATCCCGACCCTTGACGCCTGTATATTGGGAGTTCCCTCTACATCTAGAAATATGTGTTTAGATTATTTGGCTGCTATAAATGTCCACATGATAAGCCACAGCTATCATTCGTGACCATGTCGTTATATAGCTCAGTGGGCCTGACCTGTAAAATATTTTTTTTTAACCTTGAAATAGTTTAAGAGCTAGGATACTCACTCTTTGGGCAGGGCTAGTGTTTTAATGTTCAAGCGACCCCGAGCCGCTGTATTTAGAGCACAGGATAACCACTTCACAGCAAGTGGTGGGGCCAGCCCTATCTTGCACATGTTTACTCGGGGCTAGCTTGTTTTCACATATGAGTAAGCAGCCGTTGCAAAATTGCTCTTCAGCAAGTGTAAAACTAAAAAAGGAATCCGTGTATGAACCTTGAAATGTGCGTGCAAGTATTGTAAATGTATTTTTAAAAAATTGACATGCATAAAAAACATTCTTTACTGGTAGAACCCAGATTCAGCAGCCCCGCAGGACCAGCCACCACCTGTTTTACTTTACAGTAAAATACTAAACTGTGACTGCCCAGCACGTGGCATTTCTGCACAGCATGGAGACGCAGTTAACAACAGGTCACCATTGCTTCTCGTGCTGTTCAGTTTTTCATCTTTGGTATAAAAAAATAACTCATTCTATGTGGGACCTGCTACACCCGCTCACGTTATTTCGAGGAACACTACTTTCTGTTTGTTTAACACGTAGGCTTTCGCGACCAATATCCATGGTATAGTTTTCTTTTTGGGTTAGATCGCGTAAATATATAAATGTGTCGTTAAACCCGCCACCACCCGACACAGCCAATTAGTAAGGTTTGTCACGTAAACAGAACGTGCCAATTCGTCACTGGTACAGCACTAACCGGTGTGTTTGAGGGCCAAGCCACAACCTTTACAATCTGAGTACGACATTTCACCAGTAATTACAACTAGCTTCATCAGACGACAGCCAGATTTGTGGAGAAGTCCTCCTGTTTCGTTCCTTAAATAGAGGGGTAGATGTGGAGACAACACTTGTGCGCTTTTCTTGCGCAAAGTGGGGGGGGGGATTAATGAATGCATATAAATGACTATGGATATCCTGTTCCGTTTGAGTTATTGCAATGGTAATCAACGTGTTTTATGCATGCGCATTATGCGAACCCATTGTTCTTGTACTGTCGATTGTCTGTACTAAAATACTTTAAGTTTACTTTTCAGTTTTTTTTGTGTTTTTTTGGCGTGCACATCGTCGCCACCTTGGCCTCCTCGGAGTTCCCAGAGTGCGTGGCCTCCTCGCGGGAGCTCTCGGCTTGCAGGAGGTCGCGATGAGCCTGCAGTTCCTGGAGACGGCGATCGCGCCGCTCCGCCTCGTGGTGCAGCGCGTTGAGACGCTTAATGCGCTCGCACACCCTCTGGTCCAGCATCTCCACTGCTGCCTGAGAGACGGACAAGAGATAGAGGGGGCAGAGGCACAAAGACGCAGAAAGAGAGAGGGACAAAGAGAGAGGGTGAACATGACCACCGAGGGGAGGCCCAGGACTGGTTTATATATCACTCGCCACTGATGTTAGCTTTGGCCGGCGCCAGATCCAGGCATCAAACCTAGATTGCCGGCTTTGTAGAGCAGTAGGCGAACCACTATGCTGACGCTCCACACGCACACGGGGAAATTAAGGCTAAGATTTAAATATTCTCAGACACGATGTATCTAAAATTAAGTGGGAAAAGAAGAGAGTAGTCCCGAGCACAATTTAGCCTTTTCAATTTTGGTTATTCTCCTTTGGTGTGTAAATTTCCGATGTTGTGTTGATTTTGAACATTGTAATGGGTCTGCAATCACATCCTTACTGAGTAATTATCTCAAATGCCGCTTTGGTGACTCGATATGTGCCTTGAGATGTACTGCATGGGATGGGTGGTCTAAATAACAAACAGTGGTGACACGTGCACGTGCACAATGCTGACGCGCGTCCACGCACGACAGCACGATCGTGTCGGCAGACACAGAGTGGAGTGTGGCTGGACCCACCTGGCCCGTCTTGTTCTTCATGACCGCCTTCTCCGCCTGGTGGTTCTGGAACGCCTCATTGATGACCTGCTCATCTCCCTGACATGGGACGACAAAGCACCGCTTTACTCACGCACGCGTGAAAACCCTTTTGAATGACGAACAGGGCTGTCTTTCCGACAGACCTGTTCTTCACCTGAGGACGGCTGCTTGCGTTGTGGCCGAAACGTCGTGAGAATTGTATTTTATTATGTTTTATGTTTATTATTTTATTATTTCCCTTCTACGTGACTTTACCGAAAGAACCAAGAAGATGAATCCCTGCAGTCACGAAAGCTTTAAATCGAAATTTGTATGCATCATTCAGAGTGTCATCACTGAGACGACATATGTGTGCGTTGTGTCGTCTGGGTTTGGGCCCTGTTTACTGCGATGGAGGTGGCCAGCTTGCGGTGCAGCTGCTTGTTCTCCTGGCGGATGTGCGAGATGGTCTCTCGGTTCTTCTTGATGGTGCTCTGAGAGCTCTCGTAGTACGCCTTGCGCTCCCCGTCTGCGGGCGACAGCCGTCGGTCACACACAAAGACAAAGATTCCCCCGTGTAGCCTTAACTTTGCTGTTTTTTCCTGGATTTTCCTGCTGCGCGTAGTCACTTTAAGATGTTTTCTTGTTCATGTTTTTGTTTGTTGCGGTTGCACCCGATTCAAGAGCCGAATGGCTCACAGGGCTATACCTAATAAATGAAATGAAGAATAAATTAAGGCAGCCACCACGGATCGCCGACATATTTCGTTCTTGTTTTTCGTGGTGATGGGTGGTGGTGGTGGTGTTTGGTGGTGGAGCTGTGTGGATCGTGCATTGAACTGTGAACTTCGGCGAGATCTGAGCTCAGTTGGTGGCCACGGGTGACATCATGACATCAGTGGTTCAGCAATCGTGTCTCGCTCCTGCACACGAGCTGATCTCACGGTGTTTGCGTGAGACACTGGGATGATTGATGTTGTTGGAGCGTGCTGGCCTGCCCCTGACTGGACATCTGTGATAAAGAGCTTTATAGCTCATAGGATTCCTCCATTATGAACACACATTCTGATTCTGAACGTGGGGTGGGGGGCACAATGTTATAGGTTCTAGATTTGAAGCTTTCGTGACCGCAAGGATTCATAATCGTGACAGATGGGGGGCGGATTTGGGGGAGGCCTTCATCTAGCAGTGGATAGGTCATGGCTGATGATGAAGATAGTGGTGGTGATAACGATTACGATGACACCGATAATATTTTTTTTTCGGTAAAGTCACGTAGGTAAAAAGTCAAATAAATGAAAACAACTAAATTAAATCACGACGTATCGGACGCTTGTGTTGCGCCCGAAACGTCGTGATTTAATTTAGCTGTTTTCATTTATTTAATTTAAAAAAATTACCTACGTGACTTTACCGAAAAAAACTAAGAATATTATTGGTATTCTTGGTTCTTTCAGTAAAGTCACGTAGAAGGGAAATAATAAAATTAAATAAATATAAAACAATAAAAAATTCTCACGACGTTTCGACTGCAACACAAGCAATCATCATCATCAGGTGTGAAATCCACAGCAAGAAAATTAGAAAAAAGTGGCGTTTTTTCCTAACGTCAGCACTTTTTTCAAATTTCTTGCTGTGGATTTCACACCTGATGATGATTGCTAGTGTTGCAGTCAAAACGTCGTGATACATTTTTTTTTGTTTTATATTTTTATTATTTTATTATTTCCCTTCTACGTGATGACTTTACCGAAAGAACCAAGAATATGAATCCCTGCAGTCACAAAAGCTTTAAATCAAAAATTATTATCGGTGTCATCGTTATCACCACCACCACTATCTTCATCATCAGCCTCATCAGCCATGCCCTATCCACTGCTGGATGAAGGCCTCCCCCAAATCCGCCCCCCATCTGTCACGATTCCCAACTGCAGTGTTGACTGAAACAAAGATAACTCAACAAAGTCGCACGTATATTTGCTTCTAAATGTATATTTTAAGTGAAGTGTGTACGATTATACAATGGAGCTAAATAACACCGTTTAAATTCGTTTGGAGTACAGTAAACGGTTGTCATGGTTATTTGGGGATGTTTGTTTGATTTATCCCAATACGTTCATGTTGTAAACAAACGCTGTAATGTATATTTATTCCATTTAATAAACAAAACCCCCGAAACTTTAGCTTATTACAGACCAATTCAGACCTTAGTGGTCACCCCGTGCCTCTTATAAATCTCAACGTTTATCTTACAAAGTCCCATCATCACAAGTAGAGAAACACAAACAAATACACAAACACAACGTACGCCGTATGGACATGAAAACTCAATTACCTTGTACAAGAATACGTGGTTATAAACCGTATGGGTTGACAGCTATGGATAAATGTTTAAGTGTTTGTGTATGTATTGATTTTACCCACCTAGGAGTTGGATTTTCTTGTGTAGGTCGCTGATTTGCTCGTGAATCGGCGGCTTCACGACGTCTTTGACGATCGGCATGTTTTAAAAATTAAACTATAACTCGATCGATCATGAACTGCGACTGCGAATGTCGTTTGAAGATCGATTCGCTTACTGGTCTCGAGTTGTGTTGACAGCCGTCGCTATGGAGACCGCGGCGCATGCGCAGTGTGGGCTCTGTGAGCTGCCCCTCCCTCCACCCCCCTTTCACCCCCTCCCTCCACACCCCACTCCCTCCATCCCTCCCCCTCTACCCCCCTCCCTCCACACCCCTCCACCCCCCTACACCCCTCCCTCCACCCCTCCATCCCCTCCACCCCCTTGCACATCCCCCTCCCTCCACCCCCCTCCACCCCCCCACTTCTCACCCCACTCCCTCCATCCCTACACCTCCTTCCACCCCCCTCTCCACCCCCCTCTCCACCCCCCCTCCACCCCCCTCCACACCCCTCCCTCCACCCCCTCCATCCCCCTCTCCACCCCCCCCCTCCACCCCCCTCCACACCCCTCCCTCCATCCCCCTCTCTACCCCCCCTCCACCCCCCTCCACACCCCTCCCTCCACCCCCTCCACCCCCCTCCACACCCCTCCCTCCATCCCCCTCTCCACCCCCCCTCCACCCCCCCTCCACCCCCCTCCACACCCCTCCCTCCACCCCCTCCACCCCCCTCCACACCCCTCCCTCCATCCCCCTCTCCACCCCCCCTCCACCCCCCTCCACACCCCTCCCTCCATCCCCCTCTCCACCCCTCCTCCCCCTCCACCCCCTCCACCCCCTTCCACACCCCTCCCTCCATCCCCCTCTCCACCCCCCCTCCACCCCCCTCCACACCCCTCCCTCCATCCCCCTCTCCACCCCTCCTCCCCCTCCACCCCCTCCACCCCCTTCCACACCCCTCCCTCCATCCCCCTCTCCACCCCCCCTCCACCCCCCTCCACACCCCTCCCTCCACCCCCTCCACCCCCCTCCACACCCCTCCCTCCATCCCCCTCTCTACCCCTCCTCCCCCTCCACCCCCTTCCTCTCTCCACCCCTCTTCACCCCTCCTCCCTCACCCCCCTCCACCCCCTCCCTCCACCCCTACAGCCGTCCATTGCAAACCCAACGGAGGTTGTGTCCACGGGAAGCGCCAATTCACTCGCACGTCTAAGGGGCCGTCCATAAATGACGTCACGCCATTTTGGACGATTTTTGACCCCCCCCCCTTCGTCACACGGCGTCACAAAAAATCAGACCCCCTCAAATATGACGTCACAAAACTCTGCCCCCCCCAAAAGAAATAAAACATGCTTCCTCAAATCGCTTTAAACTATTGTCATTGTAGTGCGTATTTAATGTGGCGCTGCACTCTGATGTTGTAGGATACTTTTTTTTATTAAAACGTATATTTAATTAAGTAGAACGTGTTGCCTATATTTATTTAAAGTTGCGCATTTTGATGTGACGTCACATTTCTCACCCCCCCCCCCCCCATCGTCACAAATGTCTGCCCCCTCCAGGTGTGTGACGTCATTTATGGACGGCCCCTATTCAAATGGCCTATTCACCCGTCTATTCGTATGCCCCATTCACGTGCACGTCGATCGAAACTCACACGTACACAGCACTCAAATTGCACATTCACTCAAGTCTATTCAAATGCCTATTCAGTACCAGAGGTGGGACAAAGTCATTGTTATGCAAGTCCAAGTCGAGTCTGAAGTCATCAAATTCATGACTCGAGTCTGACTCGAGTCCACACCTCAGAGGTGGGACAAAGTCATTGTTATGCAAGTCCAAGTCGAGTCTGAAGTCATCAAATTCATGACTCGAGTCTGACTCGAGTCCAAGTCACATTACTCGAGTCCACACCTCTGCTATTCACTCACTTGACGTATATCCCAATGCGCACTCAGACGAACATGTAATATATTCAAACGAGTATTCACTCACGTGCATATTCACATACGTATCCGAGTATACGTATGTTCTTATGTACATTCACTCACGCCCAATGCTATACACATTCACTCACATTAAAATGCATATCCACTCACATGCCTTTCATTTAATTGCCCATTCACTCACATGGTGTCTGTGTCGCGTCGGAAATGCACATCTTATACCGTCAGTATTTACTTACCTGCAGTTGCGGGCACAGGCCCATAGAGGGTGCCACCCTGAGCTGGGGAAGGACAGAAAGAGCCGGACCGTTGAGAGGCCGGGGTCTCCCCACCCCCCAGACCCCAGGTGAGGGGTTGGGGGGTTCTTCCAGAGCCCCCTAGAAGGTTCCAGAAAGGGGGCGGTACCGGGGGCGGAGACTCCCTGAGTGTATAAAAGAAGCACCTCTGGGACAAGCTCGGGGCAGTGCTCCGAAGACAAAGAACCGAAGACCAGCGAGGCTAGGACCCTGGGACCTCGAGCCCGACGTCCTTGTAAGGGCCGTGCCGAGCTCGGACCAGTGGTCAGGACCCGCACCTTGGCTGGGTCGCGTCAGTCAGCCTCCCCGAGGGCACAGATAGCCGGAGGGCTGAGGGCAGGTTACCCAGTGTGAGGGCACGCTAGCCCGGAGGCTGTACCTCCCCAGATAGTGGGAGTTAAGGGGAGTTCTATTTGTAGTTACAAATAAACCTTGTTGCCTCTAAAGACAACGTCTCCAGTCTCCGTGGAACCCACTACATATGCGAATATGCATTCGTTTTCAAGTCTATTTAAATGCATACAATATTGACTAAAATATGTTCAAATACACGGTCACTCACATTCAAACGCGTATTCACTTACATGTATATTCGTTCACGTGTCTCTTTAAATTCCTATTCACTCACATGTATGTTCGGTGCCTGGTCAAATGCTTATTTACTTCAGTGTCTGGTCAAAATCTGATCGTTTAGCTGTACTAAAGTGCCAGTCCACTGCTGGATGAAGGCCTTCCCAAGCCACCGCCACCTCTCGCGATCCTGCGGTGTAATAATCCAGCCGGCACTTGCCCACGAGCTGATTTCATCGCTCCAACTCCGCGGCGGACGTACTCTCATGAAGATTTATTTTCAGGAAAATTTTGGTCAGGACTGGGAAGGTTTGGACACGATGTAAAATTCGAACACAATGGCAATTGAATAATATTTCAAGTCAGTTTATACATCATACAAATAATTATTTAACAAATTTGACAAATAATTGGTGAATCATTGCATGTCATGGTGCATAACAATAATACAATTACATCATACTTTAACAAAATACATTCGTACCATTTAAATGTAAGCGTTATTATTCTTTTTGCATTCGCATACCAGTAATACAATCCAACGCGATGTAAAACGACTAGGGGTGCAATTGCTATGTTAACCGAATTATCAACCCAGCGAAATAGCTTCGATAACCGGCCACTGATGTTGGCCGTGGCCAGTTATTGACCTCAGGTTATTGAGTTTATAGGATGGTGCGCTTACCTCTGTGCTACCACTCCACTGTCACTTGTAATAAAGTCAGATTAATTATGAATGTAATTTAAAATCATATTAAGCCGTGCTGCCTGTTGCACGCACATTGCACACTTGTCTCTCTTCAGAGCTACCGTATCTCTGGGAGGCTCAACCAGATCGCATGGTTGGCTAGCATGCACCCCTCCTCGGTTAACCCTTCCCACTGTGACATAGCGATAACCACTCAATTACCAGTCCCGCCCTAACGAGTCGAACGCGAGGCCAGAACATTTTAAACCGTGATCATTTCGCAATTTTAACTCATGCTTCGAGACACCGGGACAGCCTTCATGAAACTGGGACTGTCCTGGGCAACTCGAATGCTGTTGCTTGGCCGTGCTCTTTTATATGCCTTTTCCACTGCCACATCCGAGCGCGAGGCCAAACCACGCTACGCTGGCCTTGGGGGCCAAGCCGGGCCATCAGTGAAGCGAGTTCAACTCGGACACAGTGTCACCGCGTCAACTACGTGCATCTCGACTTGTTCATCTTGCTTGCGACGTCACGGCACTGCAGTAGAAACACAAACTGACGCCTGCGAACCTGCATCCAATCCGCCTCGGCATGGCCCCTGGCGCGGCTCGGTTGTAGAGTGGAAAAGAGGTATTAGTTTGGGGGGGACATCTGGCCAAAGAGGATGTGTTCCTGCATGCCGTCGCTGTCCCCTCGCTTGCAGGTGAGGGCGCTGAGGGTGGCGCGGGTCGCTCCATATAGCTCCAGGGCGAAGGTGGAGAACACGAGGCAGAAGACGCTGAACGCTGCCCACTCGCACACGGCCGCCACCCGCAGCAGCCTCGCCTCCTTGCGCACGTACAGGAAGCCGTCTGCAGGAAAGGTGACGGTCAAGGAGAACTGGCGGACGTGCAAATGGATGGACCAGCAGACTGACATATTGATGGATGGATGGACAGACTGATGGACAGGCGGGCGGACAGATGAATGGACCAATAGACGAACGGACTAACAAATGGATTGATGGATGGGACAGACATACTGATGGATGGGCGAATGGATGAATAGACACACTGATGGACAAACAGATCGGTGGAGTGACTAATAAAGGGATACATGTATTAACGGATGGAAAAACAAAAGACTGGATGCAATTAACAGATTGGCCAATTTGACAGACCCAAATGGATTGGTTAACAGACAGAGAGATGCAAGGTAGAATGGTTTGACAGGCTCTGAAGAATGTATATATATGAATAATGAGCTGGCACCACTGAGATCAGAAGTTCTAATTCATCCTGTGATTAAATGTTTCTCAAGTGTAGCATGTTAATGGTCTCAGCCCGGTTGTCAATGACCACACACACCAAAAAAAGACTTTCAATTTAGTTTTCCACTTGATTTGTATAATGTCCAGCTTTCAGAATCGAAAATATCAGTTTATCCATCACATAACAAACATTACTGTCAATGGCAGGACAGGGGAAAAAGTGCTGCACCCCCTAGATTGGATAAGATGCCACTTGCAGAGATTTCAGATATCGTTCTCTGACATCTCCATCTATGGGCCGTTCTCTCACACGGAGTGATACACTACTCTGTGGGATGGATACGGCTGAACGTGGCTGCAGGATTAGTGACATGGACATGGAAGGAGGAACACAGATGAGATGGACAGACGGACAAGGCCCGGGTGCCTCTAGCCCACAGGCCCCTGTGCAGTTGCACCACCTGCACACTGGATAGCTATGCCACTGCTCAGAAACTCGAGATGCGAGGTTAGCAGGAGGATACACAGGCCCCCAGTGAGCAGCAGGAAGAGACAGAGAGCGGCTCGCATCCCGGCCACCCAAGGCTGCACCCACGACGCCACCCCACCCTGCAGCTTCCACGACACCAGCGTCTGCAGCCCGGCCGCCACCTGCATCCGGAAAAGCAGAAACGGTGGTGGGGGGAGTATGATGCAGAGGTGTGGACTCGAGTCATGTGACTTGGACTCGAGTCAGACTCGAGTCATGAATTTGATGACTTCAGACTCGACTTGGACTTGCATAACAATGACCCACCTCTGGTATGATACAGCAGGAAGAACCAGGCGCAGCAGAGGCGGACCAGGGAATGGGAGCGTTGAGATGGTGTGGGTGGGGAGGGGGGAGGTGGCTCAGTCAAAGGTTAATGTGGCTCCGTTAAAGCTACCATATTTCTGGGAGGCTCAACCGGTACACGTGGTGAGCTAGCAACCCCATCCCCCCGTCAGCTCAATCAACACAGCCACGCCCACTCGAACACTAGCGACTTTAGTGCAGTCATTTCGATCAAGACATTATAACAAAAGGTCACAGAGCGTTTCGCTCGTGGTGATCTTGTGCCCTTTCACCGAGTCCAGGCTACTCGTGAATTCTAGAGCTAGTTAATGCGTTTCGTGGGGACTGAGCCCTCTGAGTCCTCGCCACCCACCACTGTTTTACAAGTGGCGAGGAGAATCACTGTGGCGATTTTGGTGGGCACTGAGGTGCTGATGTCAGGGAGGAATAAAAATCCTCATCTCCTGCGTGGAGGCGCTGTAGCCGAGGGGATCAGAGGAGTGTACAACAGCTTGGTGGGGAGATGCTGTCTCCTTGGCAACAGCATCTTCCTACCGAGCAACTTAATTTTTAACGTTAACATATATTTTTGTATGCGTACTGTGGATGTAATATCACCGGTAAACAAAATGCTATAATATTTCATTCATTTCACTGCAAAAATTAAGTGAATTAGCTTCTACCCCCTGCCCACATGGATTTTATATGTGGGACCAAAAAACTCGAATAGAGATATCTGCAGAGCTCCCTCCAGTGGAGGCCCTACCGCCAGCAATGTCGCGAGCGAGCAACTACAAAAAAGGCTGCGTGTACCCTTCCCGTTATCATTTATGTGGGCCACCCCTGACTATAAACTGAGACTGACCACTACCGCACCGTTCCGGCGGTCATGCAGATGGCGGCGGAGATGAGGTGGGCCCAGCGGAGGGCCTCGCCGGCGCTGGGGCAGCTGCCGACGAGGAAGGCCCCCACAGCCGCCAGGAAGGTGCATGCCAGCGCCGCCCGGCTCACGTGCTCGAGGCGGGACGAGCCACACGCCTGCACCGTCAGCCCGTGCAGCAGCAGGGCCACCAGCGCCACTGCGGGGGAGGGTGCAAGGGTCACTCTCTTCAGCTGGTCTGCACGCGACTGGCGTCACGGGCCGTGGGGCTCGCGAGGGCCGCGAGGACATGGCCGCTCGGCGTCCGTCAATATCGGTGTGGAATGCACGCGCACGCGAGATGCTCGTCGCGGTAGCCACACGCTTCGGGGAGAGGGCAGAGGGGGAAGTAGGAGAGGGCAGTAAGCTCGGTGAGAGAGGACAAGTGAGAGGGACGTGAATTCGGTGAGAGAGGTAAGTGAATGAAATGAGGGCAGTGAGGGAAGTGGGAGAGGACAGCTAGTGAACTGAAGGAGGGCATAAAGTTCAGTGAAATAGGCCAGTGAGAGAGGATAGGGAGTAGTGCTTTGCAATTCTGGCCATATACATACGTTAGCCTTCATAGTTGGCACTTGCCAGTTTATAAATTTCAAAACATGTATATATTAAACGTTACCGCTATATTCAGGATGCTCTGGAAAGTAAGACATACCCCAAACTTTGGGGTAACGTTGGAAGGAAATATGATGTCCAAGGAACGGGGGGGGGAATGGTGTAGAATGAAAATGTATTAAATTTAGTGGGCACTGGTAAAAATACGGCTCTTAAAATCTGGAGAACAAGGCGCTTTGCAGAGCCGCCTTCCAGAAGATGAATATGAACGGTAGTTGATAAGAGAACCGCATAACCGAAACGTGCTCTACGCCGCAGCCCCGACTGTGATGAGACCGGGACGTGAAGATGCGCAGGGCGCTCACACACGATGGAGGAGATGGTCGTCACGATGCTGAACAGGGCGCTCTCGGGCCGCGTCGCTCCGGTCGCGCTGCAGGGGAAGCGACAGAACACAGCAGTGTTTTTCGTTGCAATGCCTGCGGACCACTAATGGCCCCTGATGGCCTTTAGTGCTGCCCCTGACGTCCCCCGTCCCCCACCCCCCCCGACAATACACAAATGTGAAAACACCCCATCGTCCTGCTGTCAAAGCCAATAGTTTCAAATGTGTGGCGGGCCCTCACACTGATTATGTCTTATCGGCGCAGTTGCCAACCCTTTGAAAACTAGTGAAGAATACTGGAGCAAAGCATCAACACAAACTTCTCTATTCTGGTGATTGGGCTGGGTGAGAGGGTTAAGGAACCACATTTATCCACGGGCAGCTGCTCCAATGCCTGCCACATGATTTAGTCCACGAGTACCCGGTGGTATCGCCTACTTTTGTCACTGAATATTTTCCAGATAGCTAGAAATTCCAAGAGGCGACACGTGACTAGTCACCACATCCACCACAGCCAGAGAAGGTATACTGGATCTGGTGTGCTGGCCAGACTCGGCTGATATTAAGCCCTACTTTAGAATTGCCAGTGGCACAGTGGCATGGCACGGGTTTAACAGGGGACATGAACCAGTGTCAATTGAAAAAATATATTATTTTTTGTTTATCGATGGGTTTTTATTACTCTGTATAGTTGTGTTCGCTTCATTAGCCAAATGTGACATTCACATATTTTTGCGCATCATTTGCACTGATTGTAAATAATCCAGTGTCTCACACGCATGCGATTAGCTTTGTGCATCGTAGTCTTAAGAACGGATTTTAATTCACGAATCAATGCACTATCGCAGCATTTTCTATTTAAGAGGCCACCTTCAGACGCAGACTGAGCCGCAACTGAGAAAGGCCCATTGAGCTAAACAGCTCTTTTACAATATCTTAGGTTATCGCTGGACACAAGTGACTTTGATTCCTGACCCTGGCCAAATGGTGCCCCTGCCCCATTCATTGGTCAAGTCGAGGCACTCACCTGATGTAGGGGATTTTATCGAGGTCACAACAGTCGGTTTTATTGTAGCAGTCCTCGATGAACCTGGGTGCAACAAATACACGGCGCTTAGAGGTCGGTGCCGCTTAGAGGTCGCCATCTTGCTGACACACACTGGTGTTTGGCACCCCTATAGGAAGGTTGAGGAAAAACTGGGCGTACATGTTTGAATCAAAACGTTAATGACCTTTATTTTTTAAAAGCAACAAATGTGTCAATAACACTGTGGCTTTTAATGAACAAAAATATAATGGGCGACGTTTCGGGTGCTGATCCTTCTTCATGACAGTGTTTTTGTTATTTGTGCTTGTGCACCACTGCCAACGCAGTAGCAGTATTAACAAATATTGTTTCAAATGAGGGATTATTTCTTTTTAATGGGCACCACTGATGCCGTGTGAATGGAATCCGGCAGGTGTAGCTTGATAATACATGTTCTTTTTTTTGTATTATGGATGATATTGGTCGCCAAAGCCTACGTGTTAAACTGAGGTGTAGCTTGTTTGAAATTATAGGTTACACAACATGTCCGTGCAAAATAACAGCCTTTTTGTCAAGCCACTGCTGTGTAAGCACCTCCCCACGCTGTGCGGATCGTGGGGGGGTTGTTTGACCATACTTCACCACGCTGATCAGTGTGGATTATGTGAAGGCAAGGGAGCATGGACACGGAAGCATACAAGTACGGTACAACAATGGATTTTGCTACACTGTCTCTGCTGCCCATGATCCTAAAGCCCACAAGCAGGAATCGTGACTACAGTTAGTACGGCCAACTTAATCGCGTGTCACTCACACCTCGGCACGGGTCTCAGATATGCAAACCGACTTGCTGTACTCACCGAGGCCACTCGGAAAATGCGCACACGTGCCCATATTGAACGGCCAGTCCATACCTAGTGCAATGAGAGAAGGACACATTTTACACGGAGCATCACTCACCACCGATATGTATAAATCGTTGGATTGGTACTCGCTTTTTTAAATTATTGGTATAAAAGTAACTGAAACAGTGTGACCTTTTAAGTCGTACTTAAAAGGTTTCTTGCCGTGTTGTTCCACCTGATGACGGACGCTTGTGTTGCGCCCGAAACGTCGTGCTTTAATTTATTTTCTACCTACGTGACTTTACCGAAAGAACCAAAGAGTATGTATGGATCACTGCAGTCACGAAAACTTCAAATCTACTTTTAAGTCGTAAATAATGTCAAGAAAGTAAAATATTTCACATATTTAACGAGCAGCGCTAATCAGGACATGGCAATGTTTTTTCTCCAAAAAAACGGATTTAACGATTATCGTAGAATCGCCATATCGCGGAATCCCTGGTTGTCACCGCTCGGGGTGTCATAGGCTAAGTGCTGCCCTCTGCTGGTAGGCCTCAATGTTAATGCCAAACGGCCAGGGGTCAACCAAACTGAGGCTCTGGAGGCGCGTGCGGCTCTTCAGGGACTTTCTCCGTGACGTTATTAGTTAAGGACCACCGTCTCGCATCCACATGCATTGCGGCTCTTTAAATATTGAGGGTTTATCTTTTTTTTTTTTTTTAACAAATGCTGCTCGCAGCAAACATCGCGGCTATCGCGATTTTCACATGAAGACGAACGCTTGTGTTGCATTCGAAACGTCGTGATTTATTTTGTTTTTTTTCTACCTACGTGACTTTACCGAAAGAACCAAAGAGTATGGATTCCTGCAGTCACGAAAGCTTCAAATCAAGATTAAAATGCCCCTTCTTGTTATTTTGGTTTCCGTCCCCTGGCCTAACACGACCGCCTCCAACCGATACCCACCAAATCATACATCGATAGATTCAATGATTTGTAACGATTTGGGGTGGGGGGGGGGTCATGATTTGAGTAGCGCGGAATCTCTAGCAGTGGCATTTCTACGGTTGTTTGACCACACCTCCACCACCTATGCCGATCACTGCGGATTGCTGGTGAAGACGGGGAGAATAAAGACGCGGGTGCGCAGAAGTGCAGTGCAACAAATTGGATATTGCTGTGCTGCCCTCTGCTGCCCACCGTGTGCGTGCGCTTGGTGCGTGCGTGTGGTGCGTGCGGTGCGTGCGGTGCGGAGTGGAACGTGCAGTGCGTGCGTGCGGTGCGGTGCGGCTTACACGGTCCACACGCCCGCCGTGCTGATGACACCAAATGCCAGGGGTAGACAGCACCATAACGCCATCTCTGGCAAATTCTCGCACTCCCCCTATGCCTCTACCCCCCCCCCCCCCCGTGCCGGATGAAGCTAGTGTGGGGCCTGTAGTATATGTTATAAAGCGGCCCTAATTAAAAAAAAACATAAATAATGAAACAAATGTTTTACTTGCACAGTAAAGTAATTGTATTTGTTTCATTTGCTACACAGCCAGATAATACGGCAAATCGCTAATCTTAAACACCCGGTCGTTCATAAAAGTTGAAGGCGGTATAATACTATAGTAATAGAGCAAGTGCAGAATCACTGAACCGGAATTAATAGCTTGAAAGTATTTAGCGCGGGGCCCTTGAAAGTGCGGGGCCCGTAGCTACTACATATGTAGCTACTTTTGCTCCTAGGATAATCCGGCACTGCCCCCCCCTTCTCCTGCTCCTCCTCCTTGTCCTCGTAGTCGCCTCTCCTCGAATGATAATCTCTTTGAATGATAATCTCCTCGAATGATAATCTCCTCGTTCCTCCCCCTGCATCCCCACAGGCAAAACATCGAGAGTTATGTAAGAAGAGATTCAGTAATCTCCACCATCGCCGTCATCATCACCGCACCTGCGATTGGCACGCTTGGCTACGTACCTGGCGAAAGAAGTTCAACATACGTACATCTTCTTGGTTCTTTCAGTAAAGTCACGTAGAAGGGAAGTAATAAAATAATAAAAATAAATAATAATAAAATAATTCTCGCGACGTTTCGGCCACAACGCAAGCAGCCGTCTTCACGACGTTTCGGCCACAACGCAAGCAGCCGTCCTGAGGACTTTACCGAAAGAACCAAGAAGATCATCAGGAATGTAACGATTGATTCCCCACCCACATGAATTGTTACGTTTTTGGGGTCACGATTTGATGCTGCCTAGTGGCTGGGCAAGCGCATTCATTGCGTAAAACGATACCCAGTAAACATAGACCATTGGTCCAGCGGTCCCACGTGCATGCTCTGCTATATGGGAGTCATGTCCGTCGCGTGACAGTCTGATTTGTTTAATTATCCCAGTTGGTTCCTCGCCAAATTAAGTGCAGGACAAAATTGAATGTGATGAGTAAATTTTTTTTTTAAGTAATTGTTCATCGGGACCAATCAAACTCACTATACTTGAGAAACCGGTTTAATCGCATTATTTGTTGATTATGCGTTGGCAGTGGTGCGCAACTAATACAAATAAAACATTCAACACATTGTTCAAATACACCATCTTGAACTATAACGTAATAAGTATTCTTTTATAAAACGTATTTAAAAACACGCTTTTATGAAATGTACGAGTAATGGCAGAACTCAACGACTCCAGGAAGTGGCCCCGAAGCTTGCCATAACGTGAGGGACCGTGGCCAATGAGACCCAAGCCGAAACATAACATATAAAAAAGAATGTTTAATTTTTTTACGATAGAATATAGAATTGTCATCAGTATGACATAAGTATACCAAGTTTGCAGTCGATACCGCATTGGGAAGTGGGTTAAAATTGAGTTACAAGATTTGAGGATACAACAACAACAACGACGACAACGACAACAACAACAGACAGAGTGAGTTAAATAAAAGCAATGAGTCTTGAGTTCCCGGGGTTCAACAAGATGTCAGCGGTGCCAGCTCAGCGCTCTGACCTCTGAGCCACCCGCCAGCCGCCTGGGGAAGTCACCCCGGCTGCAATCCGTACAGTTTAATGTTAAACATTTATACTGGTAGGTACCTCCTGGTTTACACCAGCCCACAGGGGATTATTATTCCACAGAGTGCCTTGGCTTTCCTGAGCAGAGAGTGTCTGGTGGGGAGTTGAGCGCGGTGAGAGGTAGGAGAGTGCGTGGAGGCGAGTACGGTGAGATGGGAGGGGAGAGGTAGGAGAGCACGTGGAGGGGAGTAGAGCGAGATGAGAGGGGAGAGGTAGGAGAGTGCGTGGAGGGGAGTAGAGTGAGATGAGAGGGGAGATGTAGGAGAGTGCGTGGAGAGGAGTAGAGTGAGATGAGAGGGGAGGGGCAGGAGAGTGCGTGGAGGGGAGTGGAGTGAGATGAGAGGGGAGAGGTAGGCAGGTGCGAATCGATCATCAGCTGTATCCCTATTGTGCTGTCAGTCATGACTCGATGAAACGAGTGTCTAGAAATCCTTCACTTAGAAAAGCATCACCTTGTGTCAGGGATCGGCCCCAGAAGAATTGAATAATAACTGAACAAGCTGTGTGGTGATTTGTCGCCAAAATTGTCGAACAGCTTACCCAAAAATGACCTTGCCGAATGCACGCACAATGCATCAATTGCAGTCCAAATTGAAGACATTTTTCAGATAGCGTACGAATAACTCGAGTGACGTGGGAATAAAGAGAGTGTGGTAGTCTGAAGCACAGTTTCGCTCTTCACTGTTATTTATTCTCACGTCTCGTGTGCATCACCACATCGCGCGCTTTCAGATGCGCTTCTGCGGTCGTCTGGAACGCTCTTCCTTCCGATATTTCGAAGCCACTGGAGCTATGACACTTTTAAATTATCTAGATCGAAAACTCAGTTGTTTAGAACTGCTTTTTATGTTTAGTTCGCTGTCCCCACCCCCGCCACCGCACCTCCGATCAGCACGGTTGGCTACGTACGGTGCGAAAGAAGTTCAACGTACGTACACACCTTGCCCGCATCGGGTCTGACGGCCTCGAGATAGAAGACGCGGTGATGATGATGGTAGTATCCGGTGCGGTGCGTAAACTTTAGTACTGGGGACACAAAGACGACCGGGCGTGGATGCTGGCCACCCCCCCCCCTCGTGTACTGTGCTTGCCCCAAGAGCCTGTTAAGACTGCATGGGGGATATTTGGCTTCGCCTTGCTGCTCACAAATAAGCTGCTGCACCGACCGCATTCTTATTTTGTTCAGCGCGATTACGAACGGCGACTTTGCAGAACGGTGATCGTCGTCATCGTCGTCGTCATCGTCACACTGGAATGGCCAGCTGCGGTCGGGGCCTGGATTGAGACCAGCCCTGGGCCCCGAGCCAGGACGTGACTACAATGGGACAATGGGACAATGGTGCGAAAGTGGAGCCGCCGTGCCAAGCTCCGCGCGCGCAGTTACGACGGGGGCCGGAGGGCACGTTCGTTCAAATTGGACATCAACGGAGTAATTGGATAGACATCAGAAATTACTTTAAGGTGTGAAATTTAGGTCATTGCCATTATCGTCAGCCATGGGCAATCCACTGCTGGATGAGGGCCTCCCCCCTCCCTGCAACCCATCGCCACTGAGATGTAACGATCCACCCAGCGTTGAGGCACAATCCTGACAGCAGCTGCGCTTTTACCCATAGCCAGCAACAGGTCACAGTGAATGTTTGCTTCAGCGGTCGATGTGTCCCTCTCTGTGCAAACAGTCGCTGGGCTGCGCCCATCTGCACCGGCGTCCCCGACACGTCACTGGTGGAAATTCCACATTTTATTCCCATGCCGGTGAGTCAGCTGCTGATCGATAGAACGGTCAACTGTTGGCTTTTCAACAAGGTGATACCGATATTAGCGACCCGAGAAGGATCGCCTTCCAAGCATGATTTGAGCTCACCGTCCCTTTCCCGTTGTTTTGTGGGTCCTAGGTCATTTCGTGAAAAGGTGCTACACGAAATAAAGTGTGGTGGATTGTTTGATATTTCACATACAAACACCCAGAGACATATCCCCTGATGAACGGGCCCTCTGTGAGAGTCGATACATTTCCTCTGTGTGAGTGTATGGGTCTCCATATTATTAGATGGGTCTCCGTGTGTCAGAGGATTTCGAAACGAGTATATGGATCTCTGTGGGAGTCTTGAGTGTCTGTCAATTTAGGGGTCTTTTGTGTAAATCTATTGGGTCTCGACACGAGTCGTTTACAACTCTGTGTGTGTCTACGGTTCTCTGAGGGAGTGTGTGTGAGTCTCTATGCGAGTCTATGGACCTCTATGCGAGTCCGTGGATTTCTACGTGAATCTACGAGCCCCTTCTATGGATCTACGTCAGGGGTGGGGAACGTCCACATAGGGCCCGCGAAATCATTGGGTCTGGCCCTGCCAAGGCAACCGCAGGCGGGACTCCAAATTCAATGAATCTAGGAGCAAACCTGGAAAAGCAGTTGCGAGTAGCAACATCATCAATACCAGCTAACATCACACGCCACACCAAAGAGAAGCGGTTCCAGCCATCGCATTAGGGGTGAGTTAATGAAATATTTGACAAAAAACATAACAGGCTAATTTTTAAGTTGATAATTTTGTATGGCCCGCGAATGATGTTATACATATCCAAATGGCCCTTGGCAGAAAAAAATGGTTCCCCACCCCTGGTCTACGTGAACAGTTACACTGACGGTAACGCCATCTGCGTGCCCCGCTCCCAGTGTCTCGATTGATCCACCCACGCGCGCACGTTATTTGCGCGACTGTGGAAACCCCGAGGTGGACTTTGTGACTTCCCCACGTTGGGGACCACCCCCGAGTGTCGTGGCGTCTCTGCTGGACCCATGTGGGGGATGGTGGGGAGACGGTGAATGACCTGCCAGGCAAACCAGTGGAAGTATTGATCTCGAATTCTTTTCGGCTCCGATGTTTGGGGCTGGGGGTGGGTTTTGTTAAGTAAATATTCAATTTAAAAAAAGAAACTTTCAGCCCTATGTCAATCTGCTTCTGGATAAAGGCATTCCCCACCCCCTCCAACGCCGAAGGTCGTTTGTACATACTTCACCACTCCGGTCAAGGGAATGTTGGGGAGGTGGGGGAGCAGGACCGGCTCAGGAGTGTCACTCGCCACTGACGTTAGCCGTGACCGGGAGACGAAGTCGGGTCGTCAATTTCGTCTGTGAACAATGCCTGCAAACTTTTCAAAATGCTTTCTGAACAATGCCATACGTTTACTCCCGTGTCTTCCATGTTTACGTCAAAAGATTCACAAACGTATCTATAATAAAACTCACAGCAAATAATAGTCGGTTATATGCCAATCCACTGCTGGATGAATGCCTCCGAAGCTGTGTGAGACATGAGGCGGTTCTTTATCCGTTTAGAGTC